GGATACAAGGGGAGGGCCCATGGGGCCCGGCCCCCCCCTAAAGTCTGTGAATTGTGTAAAATATTAGGCTTTTGTGTTAAAAATGGCGCCCTAAAAACCATATTCTACATTGGTTTTCATTTTGCCCCCCCCCCAAAATAAATTCCTGTATCCGCCCCTTGAGGGACATATCCTCTATTATAGATACGGGACAACACCGGTATCAGGTCTAAGGAGAGACCAAGTTAAAGAGGTGGAGAAAATAGAGACAGATCCTCCAGCCTCCACCTCACGGGTACCTCAGCCGCAGGCAAGCTCCTCGACTGTGAAGGGTGGCACGGAGGGCCAAACTCCAAACGTGGAAGGGTGTGTCCCTCGGAGGAAGAGCTGTTGTCAGAGGAGGATGGGAAATAACCTGTCCTCTCTACAACAGGGGTATGATGGGTTATATCCCATATATGGACTGTGTGATGACTCAAGGAAGGGGGGGCACAATAGATCTTTAAGGTCGCAGTGATTAACCCCTCCTCTTACTCATTCTACATTCTACATTGATTCAAACAACTCAGTTGAAAAAATGCAACTAAAGATACCAATAAATAGAGATACTAAGATGCTATGTTGACATTAGAGGTGGGTAGAGATTGAACGGGTAATTTTTAGTTTTAGTTTTTTTAAAGTATTAAAAATGCATCGTGAGATTCGATTCATTACTTGCAATCCGGTTCGTTAAATTGAATCGTGGCCATCACGGATCCACTAACGATGTTAACATTTGAACGATGAGCCGTAAAAAAGAACCGTGAGAATTGAATAGGATCACAATGCGATCGTGCGTTCAAAGAGTCGTGAGAATTGATTCATTGCTTACAATACGGTTCGTTCAATTAAATCGTGGCCAGCACGGCGGATCCATAAGAGTTGAACGATGAGCCGTAAAAAAGAATCGTGAGAATTGAATCGGATCACAATGAATCGTGGCCAGCACGGATCCATAAGATTCGAACGATGAGCCGTAAAATAGAATCGTGAGAGTTGAATCGGATCACAATGCGATTGTTCGTTTATGTTTATATTTTCACATTAATATTTTTGTTAAAATAATATTACCGACTATTAAATATAGGACTAAAAGACGAAATCGTGTTTTTATGCAACTCCAAATAAATATTGTTGACCTCTGCTGAATGTGATAAAAAAACGGTGTCAGCAATGGTTATAAAATGAATAAGATCGCTCTTATATTATATGTAAAATTATATGGGGAATATCATCCATGTTCATTTCCAAACCAACTGGACGCCATTTTTTTAATTATATACCGTATGATCGAATAAAAACGGCGTCAGCGATGGTTATGAAATGACGATCGATTACATTTCCCATATAATTTTACATATAAAATGACAGCGATCTTCATTTCATAGCCATAGCTGACGCCGTTTTTATTCGATCATATACGGTACTATTTATTATGATTATTAAATCGGAATTAAAATATGATTCTAAAAATATTAAGTTGGTATTAAGAAGTCTTTAATAAACAGTATATACAAATTGGATTGATAATTTAATATTATTGGTAAAATGATCAATCCAATTACGCTAGTGTCATAAAGTGTTAAAAAAAATGCAAGAATTGTATACAGGGTGTTTCAAAACAAATGCGAAAAACTTCAGGGGGCGATTCCTTGTTTAAAATAAAGGATAGTTTGCTTCATAAACGTTGGGTCAAAAGTCAACCATTAGGGAGATATCGCAGTACAAAGATAGCGGAAAAATAATGTTTTTATTTTTTATCTTGAAAACGAAAAGAGATAGACTAATGAAATTTTATGGGAGCATTACTGTTATGAAAACACACTTTCTGGTAATTTTTTCACTTTTTTAAAATGAGTGGAAGGGGTTGAAATAAACTACCCCTATCATTCTTGTTAACGAAATTTAAAGAAAAATCTTATCAAACACATGCAAAAAAAAATAATTTGGATAGCTTGGTTTGTTTAGAAACTTTTTTATCTTTTGTGTTTCTTTGATAAAACTCGCCGATTTGAAATTAAAAAATAAAATGTAAAGCATTACATGTGTTTGATAAGCTTTTTTTTTAATTTCGTTAACAAGAATGATAGGGGTAGTTTATTTCAACCCCTTGCACTCATTTTAAAAAAGTGAAAAAATTACCAGAAAGTGTGTTTTCATAACAGTAATGCTTCCAAAAAATTTCTTTAGTCTATCGTTTTTCGTTTTCAAGATAAAAAATAAAAACATTATTTTTCCGCCATCTTTGTACCGCGATATCTCACTAATGGTTGACTTTTGACCCAACGTTTATAAAGCAATCTACCCTTTATTTTGAACAAGGAATCACCCCCTGAAGTTTTTCGCATTTGTTTTGAAACACCCTGTATATCTTTTTCTGGTCCCTAAGTAATTGTCCTACCAAATTATCGCTGGTAGTGCCAGTTACGATTCTTGTTTTTATGAAACGTAAATTGTGCATGGGGTTCCTTCAAATGAACGAATCGTAGGAGTCGATTCAATATTCAATTGAATCGTGCATGTGATTCGATTCTCGACATACCTCTATTTTTGATTACCCAATTTAAATAGGCCACCTATGTTGAACAGTTCAATAATGCATTTTTACCTTGCTTATGAAAATAAATATGGAGTATATTATATTTTTAAAAAAGATCAGGAAAAATAAAATCAAAAAATTAATACAGGGCATCCTGATTTAAAAAAACATACGTTTGGGTCATAATTTAAGAATGACAGCCCCTAGCGAAAATGTAGTTACGTCACTGAATTCTACGTAAAAAACTCTATTGGATTCAATTTTCACCTCTTCGATAAGCTATAAGATAACCGAGACACGAAGGGGTCCAAAATTTTCAAATTTGTCCTGTTTTTCAAAAACTAAAAGTAACAACTAATGTGAAAACTGCGTCTTTGTACCTCTACGTATTAGCAGGAAACCCTATAAAAGACATAAAAATGGGACACCCTGAACTGTATACATATTTACATATTATCGTATTGTATATTACTATTAATAATTCTAATTACTATAATAAAGAAAATTAGATAATTTAATTTTACTTCTCTATTATTGATATTATTTTATTATATTATTATTTGTTTTCTTCTGTTATACTACTTGAATAAGGAATCGTTAATAAATTTATATGTATATAGTTTCTACAAAGTGTTTATTTGACAATCAAATGTAAGCTAATATTTAATCTACCTACATTCTAGTGTTGTTTAATTAATCATTGAAGTTATTGCTGATTTAAATAACCCTTTAGGATGGGGAAATGAAGAAATAGGTCATTAAAGAGTTATCTTTATATAGGCACTTTGTCTCCGAAATTACCGAGATATTCTGACAAATTACCCCTCATTGGGCGCAAGATAAATATTTAAATGGAGTAATTTTGCCGTTCCTTCCCTTCCTAAAGCAAATGGTGTTTTTTTTTCTTTCAGGTTTATCATTTTACCACTCGAATCGTAAACAAGCTATCGTATTTTATTGGCTTGTAAATATACAGTTAGAAGTCTATAAAATGTATATATTTCAGCGTTACTATGTTTTTTCCTTATGTGTTTAATAGACTTGCCATGAAACTTTTATTAAACAGCATCTACACTACTTGCGTAATGCTTCGCGAAATACTTCTGGAAGTTAACAGAAGTCGAAATATGCCTCTACACTATTCGTATTGTCTCAGGAAAATCTCTCTCTTGGCTAATCTCTTAGACTAAACTCGGCCGCGAAGGCTGAGACATACCAAGATTGGACGAGAATGGTAGGTATATGTTGACAGGAAATAACCCTCTACACTTCTCACGAAATGTTTTGCGAAATATTTCGAGAAATGCTCCGACACAACTGTTACTACGCCTCTACACTCTTTGTACTCCTGGTGGTTTCCTAAAAATAAGTAAGTAAACATGAAGTATGATAAATATCATTGGTTTGTAGTGGAGTATAATATAATATTACAATTTTAAACTGACATGAAAAATCATAAACAGTAAATTTAAAATAGAGTTACCGATGGTAGATTAAATTGGCTATTCCTCTAAAGTTACACAAGAATATATAGTTTTAATCATTGCCTAATATATCATCATCATTATCAAAATCATTATCATTTTCAGCTTATTCAAGCATTTTCAATTATGGTGCAGCCTCCCTCAAATATTTAGATACTCTTTTCATAGTTGGGCCCATTGTTGGTCTAATATCTTGGTCCCATCTCAAGTTTGGTCTTCCTTTAGAGCTCTTCGTGGGTACGATACTGTAATTTTTGTGGTTCATCTGTTGTCTGTCCTTCTTGTCAGGTGTCCTGCCCTTTGCCACTTTTTTTTCCTGGAGGTGTAAAATATCTTTACGTACGGAGTGTGATAGTCAATCTCTCCTTAAGCTGACTAGAGGACACTACCCACTAAACATCACCGCCTCGCTCCTGCCACGTCTACCTGGGCCCGCAGGACGCATCTCCTCAAGTAGTCGCCGGACTGTTCTTTTTGTTTCATTACCCCTGCTCTTCGCTGTATTTTGCCTCTAGTATATTTTGGGCCAGTTTTAAGATGGCTTCAAAGTTTTCTCTTTATTCTGTTGCCGATTTTAAAAAGGTATCTGCGGAGATGTTGCCACCAATCGTCATGCGTGCCTCACATCTTTCCTGTTTCCATCTAGGACAGGCAAACATTATGTGTTCTGGAGTATCATTGGGTTCAATGTTCTGGAGTATTATTGGGTATCGGTATGTCGCGACTTCCCTGTTTCCAATTGTACACATGTAACTCCTAAAATTTCCCCTCAATATTTGAGTAAGATAGAAGTTTACCTCTCCATGCTTTCTTTTAATCCACATATTTATATTTGGGATGAGCTTATATGTTCATCTTCCTTTTTACGATACCTCCCATTCTGCCTGTCACTGCTGCACTGAGCGGTTTCTCTCTATCTCTCTGCTTGCCCTGGTTTGTACTTCACCTTTGAGAAAGAGTCATCCTCCTTCTTTTGAGAGAAAATGCAGGGGCACCAGACCCGATATTACCAAGGCTGCCTCAATTGAAGTTGTCCGATACGCCGAGCACACTCTCAAAGCCATGACTCTCTGTCCATCCTCAAGTTTTGTTTTATTTACGTGTATATTGGTTGCTTCATCCCACACAGGTTCTCCATACATAATAATATTCTGGCACGCATATGCTAACACTCTTCTCTTTCCTGGTGTTGGGCCCCGAACGCTTGGCAGTATTGCGGACAACGCTTTAGCACTTCTTTGTGATTTTAAACACACCTCCTTGATGGACAGGCTCATCGTGAGTGCACGGTCTATGTCGAATCCAAGATAGTTGACCTGCTTTACTGGATTTATTATTATATCCTTAAGATTAAACCTTATATGGTCAACTTTTCTCTTGCGGCTCAGTAAAATCGCCTCTGTTTTTTCCACAGCTATTTCGAGTCTGTGCTCACGCATCCATCTGGCTATGATCTTTAGTGTATCATCCACAGTCTGCATTAAGTCGAGGTTGTTTATGTTTTTGTTTCTTTTAGTTTTTTTTTTGTTATTATCACAGCAAGATCATCGGCATAACAGATCAACTCTGTCCCACCTGGTACAGGAAGCTCCATTGCCACTTGAGGGATTTGATTCTGTGGATGATATCTATTACCTAGGTTTTTTGTCGTATCTACTCTATCCTTTTACGGTCTCTCTTGGTTATTCCCAGCATATTTCGTTTCATTGAGCGTTGTTCGACCTGCAGTTTCCTTATAATGTCCATTTTAGGTGTCCAGGTTTCGCATATGTATAAATCATGACTGGTAGTACACATTGGTCGAATGTTCTCTTCTTTAGATAAAGTGGCATTCTAGATGTGAAAATGATTGATTTTAATATACATATAACTATTATTAATTACAATAAGTAAAAAATAATTATTTCCAAAACTTAAAGAACGTAAGTCGTAAAATTCCAAACGCTTTCCAAAATCTGGTAAAGCTCAAAGAGGATAGTGTAAAGTAACAATGACTAGCCAGTAACTCTTAGAAGATCCTTTAGGAGTTACTGGACTAACTCAGGATCCGCCTTTTATCGGCTTATAATCCACGGTGTTGTGCCACATGCATTGGCGTACAGTTGCCAACCCTACTGCTGGTCACCCTCCTAGAGAAATCTTGAATTTTGTCTGAATTATGACCCTGGGCTAAATATTAATTTATGTTTGCTTGTGATGTAGTAAAATGTCGTTTTCTAGTTTTGTTTAGTTAATATTTTTTATTTTGTCCAAAAAATGGTGATAATTTTTTACATAATGTATAGGTATTTAAGTAATCCACGGAAACTCGGTTTGATAACCAAGTCTATGAAATTTATTGATAGAGAAATTCAGGAAAAAAGTTTTAGTCAAAAATTGTGGTTATTTTTTAATGTTCTTCATTCAACACAGAGCTATTTGAAATAAATAAAACTCATTAATATTCGACTAGAAAAGTCACTATTGGTTATCCTGCTTATAGACTTACACTGACAGAGAAAACTCCTATGTGTGTAAAAGTTTATAACTGTATCCCATTGCAAATGCGAGAATGCGATAGTAATATATAATATATAGAATTGAAAAAATGTTTAAAAAAGTATCCCATAAGGGTGGAACCATATTATTTGAAAAATGTTTTTTCTTTAAACAATAGTATTTAGTTTTAGTTAAATTAAGAGTTGTGGTACTTTTCATTTTTGTATTGTTAAGTTTTTTAGTTTAAGTGTCTGTACATAATATGACGATTTTTCATTTTATGTAGGATTACGGTTAAGGTCCGATATTCGGTTAATATCGACATTACCCGGTTAACCTCGAGAATAACACACAACAAAACAACCAAAAACCTAACCAAACCCAAACATTAACCTGTTAATGTCGACATTAACCGGATATCGGACTTATCGGAGGGATATCGGTGGATTAACTTAAACACAAAATCGAATATAATTATAGAAAAGGTGAGAAGAATGAAGAACCTAATGCAAGCTGAATTATTTCGACCTCCTCAGAACTCGCTCCAGAATTTGATTTAAATAGAGAGCCAGAAAAGGCCTTTAGCTTTGTTCGAGTTCTTATTATTTCCGATTTTGAACCGTCCTAGAACTTTGAAGCGCATGCGCAAATGAAATACATTTTTCGGTAGAATCCGTAACAAGAAAAACTCAAAATAAGCTATTATGTTTTTTCAGCGAAGGAAAGGTACAAGGGGAGAATAGTGTGGTCAGTGCCTCACATGCGAATCATGAGACACTCTGTCTTGGATATGACGCCGGAACTTATATGTATGCGACTACTGTAAATATTCTACATAATTTTCTCTTTTAATCAATATTTGGATACTTTTTCAACAATATTTTATTTACCTTTTTAATATAAACAACATATATGCTGCTATTTTGGCCGTATTCCAAATTACCTGGATGTTACGTCGACAAAGATTTTTTGCATTTTTTTTTCACGAGTGAAAAAGTCCATTTAAATTACTTTAAATACTTTGAAGCTTTCGTTTGGCATACAATATACAGGGTTGTTCACCACATACGACACGGAGTATTGTAGCTAAACGATTAGATTTTTACAAATTGTAAGTTTTGAGTTCGTTGAAGGACTATTAGAGCTACAATTTAAAAATATTTCTAAAAGATACAGAGTGTCCCAAATAAATAAAAAATATCAAAGTTGTATTTTTTTAAATGGAACACCCTGTATATTATTCTATTTTTAGATTCTACGATTGAAATAAAGGTAACTTTTATTAAGGTTTATCACACTTAAACCTTACCGTTTTTGAAATATTATCAATTTTGTGAAATTGCAGTCAAAATTTTAAGGCTTCATTTCTCCAAGGGTATCAAAGTTTTTCATACTAAATATTTACTGAAGTTTATTTATTGATCAGTTATTGTGTTGCAATAATAAAAATTATACTACCTTATACAGAGTGTCTAAAATTTTATTTTAAATAATTACTAGCTTTAAACGGCAATAACTTGTTTAATTTAAATAGAACATCCTGTATATTTTATGAGAATCAGATGCACAATTTAATTGTCTATAAAATTGTATTATACCATTTTTTACCTATCTCTTCAAGTTTCCGTAGAAAATGAATTTTCTTGTAATTTAGAACTCATTTATCAATATACCCATGGAATACTGACATTTTAGATTATTTTTAAAGATGTACCAAATTTTTAAAGAGTACATATATTAATATTGTTGATATAGTTTGTTTATTTCATTAAAAAATAAAAAAAACTGTTTAAATATTTGTTAAAGAGGACCAATTAATATGATTCCAGTATTCAAACTACATTAATTGACTGTTTGCGTTGATTAATAATAATTGCTCCAAAAACTAAAAAACTGAATTTTTTATGTGTATTAGACAGTGTGGTAAAAAGTAACAAATTAAAAATGATATTTCATTTTTTGACAAATGCTTATTTGTAATAACGAGATATTCATTTTTATAACTTATTATTATATTGATTTTTGATTCAAATCCACATTTATTTAGAATAATTTATTCACGAACATAATTAAGTATGTAATTAAGTAGTATTTGGGCGGAAATAGTTGTGGTATATTTAATTAATGATATACTCTTTTATGAAGATTTAAATAGTTTTCTTTTTGCATACAAATGGGCTAGTAATATTATCATTTTGTTAAAAACGATAATATTACTAGCCTGTACATTTTGTACATTTGTTGCTTTAAAAACAATCTAAAATGTCAATATTCCATGGGTATATTGATAAATGAGGTCTAAATTATAAGAAAATGCTTTTTCTACGAAAACTTGAAGGGATAGGTAAAAAGTGGTATAACACAATTTGATAGACAATTAAATTATGCATCTGATTCTCCTAAAATATACAGGGCGTTCCAGTTAAATTAAACAAGTTATTGCCGTTTAAAGCTAGTAATTATTTAAAATAAAATTTTAGACACTCTGTACAAGGCAGTATAATTTTTATTAGTGCAACACAATAACTGATCAATAAATAAACTTCAGTAAATATTTAGTAATAAAAACTTTGATACCCTTGGAGAAATGAAGCCTTAAAATTGTTACTTCAATTTCACAAAATTGAAAATATTTCAAAAACGGTATGGTTTAAGTGTGATAAACCTTAATAAAATTTACCTTTATTTCAATCGTAGAATCTAAAAATAGAATAATATACAGGGTGTTCCATTTAAAAAAATATAACTATAGCTTTTTTACTTATTTGGGACACTCTCTATCTTGTAAAATTATTTCTAAATTGTAACTCTAATAGTCCTTCAACGAACCCAAAACTTAAAATTTGTAAAAATCTAAACGTTTAGCTACAATACTCCATGTCGTATGTGGTGAACAACCCTGTATGTAAGATATGCTAATTATTTTATTCAAAACAATCAACATTTAAATGTTTTGCATTTCTTTTAGTAACTACTATTCCAAAATACCTTCACTTCCTCTACAAATAATTGCAAATTATTAATGTATATTATTGTGAACCTATAGTATCCCATCTGCCACTAGATACTTCAGGCTTGTAGAGATTTCTTAAAATCACAACGGCCCAGTCCAACTCAGCTTGAACCTAAACAATTAATTTGCAAATTACATTTCAGTAATCTAGTCATTAACAGACAAGATTTGGTCCTTTTAGGGGACAAAATAATCCCAAAAATTCCTCTATATTCCTTTTTTATTTGTTCCTATATAAGAGGATATTTTCTTCTTGCCTTCTTCCCGCGCATTCTGTCGGTAATTACAAAAACACTCAGACGGGGCTAAAAACAACGGTATTATTTCAGCTTAGATTAAGCGAGAAACCAAAGGCTTTCCGTCTTCTTTTTGTCCATTTTCTTTCGGAAGAAGGGACGACGACGTCTTTGAAATTAAAATTTAACAGTAGGAAAGAAAGGTTTTATTGAATTGTAGACGATTCCGGGCTGTATAAGTTTAATAAATTAAGAATAAGAAAACATCGTAAAATAATGAAGTTTGGATGATTTATCAAGACGAATTGTAAACTCAGCAAACACAAAATGCCTACTTATAAGCGATACCAGTTAAACTTTTACTTACGTAATCGAAGACGCGATTTTTAAATTCATTGTTGTCAACCATGCATGGACATATATGGAGCTGGGCTGACTAACTATAATGTAACAATAGATCTTGTATTTTCAAATAAAACACTGGATTTCCCTCATAACTTCTTTATTACATTTTAGTACTTAAGATTACGACACAAACATGTATATCGTGCGAGCGCACGGTACCGACTGACTGCTGCGGACGCCTCACTCCCAATCTTATCTCCCGTAACATTCTATCGCCTCTGTCATAAAAACCATGCATTATGAATAATACAATCTGACATAATACATAAACCATAATTTGTTAATCATAACAATACACTATATAAACAAGGTACTCATAAAAATCATAACACTCGGCCATCCTACTTTC